GTTTACTAAATACGAAAAAATATCTAGGATTGCCCAGCCGTGATACATTATAGATTGACTATATTATTATTTATTTTACTATTGTAAATAAGTACTAATTGTAGATATTGACAGGTTTAATAGAAGTTCATTTTCTTATATTGTGACTAATAACCTAATATGACCTTGGGAAGAAACTCATTTTAATATAAGGTTTTACTGCAATGACTGCCAATGGGTTGTTAATTTCTACAATAGACCGTGGCGTATTGTTGCTGACATGAATAACTCCGAAAATATAATTTATTTACTTGATCGTGTTGAGTTTTGGTGCTCTCACTGCGAGTTTACTTTTTATGATCACATATACGGACGTAAGAATATCCTAAAATATTCACACTAAGTTTTATTTGACGTCCACTTCTTCGATATCCGATGTCCAAAGTTTTTGTTGACTATTGCATTTTACTATTTATTTATGTTGATTATTTATTTAGTGCTCAAGGCATATTTTGATATTTTTGTCGGTTTATACTGTACTCTAGTGCTAGTAGATAATTTTACTTTCCAATTTGTTTTCGTGTCCTTAGATTTAGCTACATATAATAATATGGACGTCCGAATATCCTAAAACATTCATACTGAATGATATTTGACGTCCATATTTTTGAATTTTGTTATATTTCTATATGTGGACTTCAGATTATCGGTAAAGTTTCATAATGCACGATATTTGACGTCCATATAACCATGAATATATTTATATTTTAATTTCTTGTGCATAAGACACACATTAATGATCATTACTTTAATGACATTTTTCGCTATTGTTTTATTTCTATTTTAGTGTAGGGAGCCCATGCGGTATAAATAGTCACTTTGGTGTTACATAAAATGCTCCATTCTCGAAATGATAAAACGCTTAGAAAATCTTTCTTATTTCTTTTTTAATAAATGTTGTCGTTTGTAGCGGTTTTTGGGGCACTGTATGCGCCAAAATTTTAACTTTAAATTACTACCTGTATACACATAATAATATGGACGTCCGAATATTCTAAAACATTCACACTGAATGATATTTGACGTCCATATTTTTGAATTTTGTTTTATTTCTATATGTGGACGTCAGATTATCGGTAAAGTTTAATACCGCACGAGATTTGACGTCCATATAACTATGAATATATTTATATTTCAATTCCTTGTGTATTAAACACACATTGATGATCATTGCTTTAATGACATTTTCGCTATTGTTTTATTCGTATTTTAGTGTAGGGAACCCATGCGGTATAAATAGTCACTTTGGTGTTTTATAAAATGTTTCATTCTAGAAATGATAAAACGCTTAGAAGCTTAGAAAACGTGTGTGAAAAATTAAATTGTATTTCCACTAACTGCAAAACCAAACATAATATCATAATTTAACAAAAATAGCCTTTCACAAAAATGAATCTAGTTAAGTAGAGAGTAATTTCGTACAGATTAGGTACAATAGTCGCACTCATCCTTAAGATGCAGTGAGAGCACCAAAACTCAACACGATCAAGTAAATAAATTATATTTTCGGAGTTATTCATGTCAGCAACAATATGCCACGGTCTATTGTAGAAATTAACAACCCATTGGCAGTTAATGCAGTAAAACCTTATATTAAAATGAGTTTCTTCGCCAGACCAGATTAGGTTATTAGTCAGAGGTTATTAGTCACAATATAATAAAACAAACTTCTATGAAACCTGTCAATATCTACAATTGAGTCCATCTTCCTGTACTCAATCAGAAGGTAACTTATACTCAAACAGAATTATGGGTTGCTTACAAAGTACCAAATGTAAAATGTTAAAATATAGTGCAGCATGAAATAAACCGATATGCCGACGTCCGCATCTACATTTATAAAAATATAACTAAATTCAAAAATACGGGTGTCAAATATCATTCAGTATGAAAGTTTTAGGATATTCGGACGTCCATATTAAATTTAGGTAAATGTAAGGTTAAAGAAACAAGTTTAAAAGTAAAATAACTAGTACCAAGCGCAGTATAAACCATATAATAATGTCCTGCAGACCGAATTACGGTCACGGCGGTCTGCCTCAACGGAGACTAGCCATCGGCACAGGACAGGATTATAGTGGTCAAGTGTATGCGCAACCACAGGTGCACTCTCTATTCCCTCACTTTCATAATCCGATGGGACGGTAAACCGACACGACCGAAGAGAGATCAGGCGCAGGACCAACGGCTTTACGTGCTTTCCGAGGGAAGGGGTGATACACCGCCAACTTCCTGACTCCGGGCAGCTATTGATAATTTCTTGACAGAAAAACTCAATAATTGATTTTTTGGCCCGATCCGGGATTCGAACCCAGGACCTCACGAACTCACGATCAGCAGTCGCACTACTAACAACCACTAGACCAACGAGGCAGTCATAACCATATATCACCAAATACATGTAACACGTTGGCAACGGTGACGGAACGGCAACGTCGCATCTCCTAATTTTGTGTGGAAGTCAAATACGGCCATAAATGAAAGTATAAAAAAATCGACAGCAGCGCTATTATTTTTGCAACGAAAATTAGCGGAACTACGTAAATATTCAGTACAGCAAGATTGGAAGAAAAATGACGTCCAATTTTTTTTTAGATTTTGACATTCATGTGATCCAGCATGACAATTTGCGAACATTGCGCTAAGTCTCCTATTTGAAGTCCGTCTATTGGACGTCGTAAGCAGGTTGACGCCACATTATATGCAAAATTGGCCATAGTGGACGTACAATAAGTTACGGGATATATATATATATATATATATATATATATTATTGCTTTGGGGTAACTTCGAAAGGATTTATATGAAGTTAATAGACAATTTATGTTTTCTATCAAAAGTCAGAATCTGTACATTTTTACCTGAAACAAGCACAAGTTTTATGTAGTTTATATATTTTGCGAAGAAAAGCTCATTTCAAAAGTATTATTACATAGTTGCTAGATATCAAAATTTAATTTTTATTATTAGTTAGATTTTTTGATCCTCAAGTGTAATTTCGAAATACTGTGGGGCAATTTCGAATAACAGTCAAAAATGGTCTTTGTGCGGTATGGCTTTAAGGTACATATTATTTTTTGATTCTAAATTCCCCCACAGTTTTTTTTCTTTCCTAATGGTCACACAACTTTTGTTACAAATTTTTCAAGAATTTATTTTCGAAATTACCCCATGGCAAGTCAGTGTTTCTCAACATTTTTTACATAATCGGTAGGCAGGGAAAACAAAACAATAAAAATATTTGAATCAGTTTATTTATGATTTATTATGAGATCACATTATCGTAAATCAGCTGCTAGTCAAGATATATCAATTATTTTTAAGTATGCATCTTCACTTATTATTAAACCATATCAATTATTATCATGGACTATCTTATCTTAATCAGCCTTGAGATTGACATTTTGAAAATACAAAAGGCTTATAATAAATTTATGTGATTGTACGTCATAAACAGTTAAGAAAACATGAAATAAAACTGGTACCTATAGCAAAAGGTAAAAAAACGACTTATCATTAAACATCTGCTCACATTAATACTTATAACTACAAACAAGGACTAAGAAATATTCTTAAACATATGCAAAAAAAAACCTAGAAAATTGAAAATACCAAATCATAGAAAGACATACTTCGAAATTGTTCATAATTAAGTAGTTTAAATTAATAAGCAATTCTATGATTTTTTTAAGTAATCAGAACCTTTTTTTTTAATACTAACTCGAATTGGTACCTAATTTTAAATTATTTTGAAAAAGGAAGTACTTTAACTTAGTACGAGATTACATCAGTTGTCATAAACTAGCTGCTAATCAAGTAGGTAATAATTACCTAGTTATTTTTAAGTTTGCACCTTAACATTAGATCTACGTACTATCTATCGTAATCAGTCTTGCGATTGTCATTTTGAAAATACAAAAGACAAATAATAAATTTTTGAAATTGTACATAACAAACAGACATTACATGATATAAAACTGGCACCTAAAGCAAAAGGTAATAAAAAAACGACTTTACATTAAACATCAGTTCACATCAATACCTTTAACTACCAAAAAGGACAAAGAAAATATTCTTAAACAATTACAACTTAGAAAATAGAAAATACCAAGTTCCCAAAAGATATACATCTGGGTTCATATATCTGGGTTTAGGAAATGAAGCGTTAATATACCTAAAATGGTCTGATGCGTTACCTATTCAGTTTATTATTCATAAAGTTATTCATTAAACGTAGTAGGTAACACATCGGACCATTTTAGGTAAGTATATTAACACTTCATTTCCTAAACACAGAATATGAAAACGTAACGTAACTCTGTGCTTAAAATTGGTTACAAGGGTTTTTGTTCCTACGTTCTCCTATGCTACTACAGACTTTAAAAAAAAACTATTTAACATAAATAACTTAAAAATATATGTTGTCGCTCTCATTAACCAAGCTACAAATTTTATCATTCATTCTTTGCAAATTTATTTTCTTCACTATAGATATATTTGTAATATCATCATAATCTAATTTTTTAGTTTCTCTGAAACAAAGTTTGGGTGCTTTCATAGTTTTTAAATAAGCGATACAATACAATCTGTTTCCGTCTTTTTCTTTCATTCCTTTTATAAATCCAATATATAAAAGGAATGAAAGAATATTTCTATGTCTTTCTAACGTAATATCTGACTAACACGGAATCATTTATGAAGTAATTTTCTTATGGTGTTTCAATTTCTGTGGCATTTGTTAAATTTTTGTTAATATTACCTATAACTACTACACTAGAGTCATCATCAGTCTTATTAGTTTCTTTTGAGCCTTGGTTATTTTCTTTTGCATTACTCTTTTTACCCACACATTTATTTTTAGTTTTGGTATGAGAATTTCCATTTTCGCATTCTTTAACTTCATTTGAAATTTCTTTATTCTCATATTTTTTCCAAAGAGTTTAAATTCTCCATCTCAAAATTTAAATCCTCTGGCCAATTTTGTGTGTTTCATGGAGTGTTTCATCGTTATAATATTGATCAATGTCTATGTAGTCACTGTAGAGGCTTATCAAATCAGAAATATCAGACGAAGATTCATTCGAATCTATTTCCTTTTTATGTTTTTTCTTACCCTGTTTTTTCTGTTTAGTCACTTTTTCTATACCTGAAGGTCCCGCATCTGCGAAATCTATATCTTTTATTGACTTCCTTTTTTTCGGCTTAGCTTTTTTTGACGCTGTTTCGTTACTTTGCTTTTCCAAATCTTCTAATTGTTTAGAAGTTATTATTTCAGCTCCTTTAGCGACACGTGTTTTCTTTGTTTGATAATTAATATATTTCTTATCCTGTTTTATTTTGTCGAGCAGTAATTCTTCAAAATTGACCTTTACATTGAATAAAATTTTAATTATTGGCTCAGGCTGTATATTTTGCTTGCATTTCAGACAATCTGGTAAACTGGAAATATTATTTGCCAAAAAAGACTGCGTCTGATTATCTTTTTCTTGAAAGGTCTGATAAGAAGGTGACATTTTGAGTATTCGTGTGTGTAACTACTCGTTCCACTTGTTCTTCTAAGTCAGGTGCAAACTGTAAAATTTTATTAAAAACGTCGATACATAAATTTTGCAGGCGTTCCGGATTTTTGAGAGCATTTGTGCGTAGCTTTTCTTTAAATCGTTTGTAGGCAGCTGGTTCAAATATATCCTGTGGTAATACATCAGGGTTGAACGGATAGATTCCAGTTTTTTTTGAAGCCGCTTTTTATTATCTCGGCATTTGTTTCTTACCACGTGTCCGCAAACGTCTGAGAAAAAACATTTTTAGGCATTTTAAGCCCGACGTTATGGCACTGCCATATAACTAATTTAGCATCCCACTTACACTTAAATGATCTAAAGACCGCTACATCCAATGGTTGTAATAAGTGGGAGGTGTAAGGTGGTAATTTTAAGATTGTGATTCCATGTCAGATAGCCAGTTGTACGACATCTACAGTCACATGAGATGAATGGCCATCGTAAATAATCAATACGGGGCGTTCTTCACCGAGAGCCTGAAATAATGCTTTTTTCTACCTTCCATACAACCTTTGCTGCTTGCTGCGTAGGTCAACTCAAATTAATAATCTTTTTTATCAGCCGTCCACTGTTTCCATATATATTGCCTCTTAAATACTATTGAGGGTGCTATTTTTTGGCCAGTGGCATTTGCGGCCGCTAAAACAGTAATATTTTCTTTGCCACTGCCAAATGTTGCTCTTGAACAAGGCTTGTTAACCGCACCTACTACTTTCGTCTTTGAAGGATCTAGACACAGAGAGGTCTCGTCCAAGTTCCAAATTAAATCGGGACGGTCAAACAAATTGAGATCGGCTAAAGTATTTCCTAGTAGCTGAAAATACTCATGAATAATAAATGGGTCTGTCATTTTTTTTCGAGTATGTTCAAGAGGTTGAGGTTTTTTAGTTGACAATCGGTGTCTTTTTTTTAAAATTAAGAAACCAATCTGGGCCAGGTCTGTTGTTATGAGTTTTCAGTTTATTTTTCGCAACATAGTCAGTAACTACATCAAGCATTTCGTTTCTAGACAGACCAAACCCCCATTTCTCCATAATTCGAAGGCCATTTGCCACTTCTTCTTTTTTGTTGAAAAGGGATAGCTTGTGGTCTACCAATATTTTGGATGTGATTTAGTTTCACTTTATCAAAAAGAGTCGTTGTGGGAATGCTATATTTTTTTGCAGCACCATAAATTGAAGATATCCCCCCGGTTGACTTCTTCCACTGCTTTTTCAACATCTTCTTGGGAATATTTTTGCACTTTCTTTTTTTATATATTTTCGAGGCATCACTCTGAAAAATTAAATTAAATACTTAGTACGTAAATGATACTTCACACTTGAATTTCAGTAGGTAGGTCATATTCCACAGACATAATTTCAAAATCTTTGCATTATCTGTTTAATATGATTAACTGATATCAAAATACTAATTTAAAAAATAAAATTGACTTCAAAAGAGTAGTTTTATTACTTTACCACAAATTGTGTACCTACTTAGTAGAAAAACCTTAATTCAAAATTTTTAGCTATGTATATTTTTTTTGCTAAAATAGTATTGTGATATGTTTAATATAATTTTTTTACTTTTGTAAAGTTTTAGCAAAAATTTATTAAATGCTAAATTGTTAAAGCAGTTTGTTGACAAGTAGTTTGGCACATTAACTACGTCACTATCCCGGTCACTTAACTAGCCAACTTTCGATTACATGTATAAGAAAATATCTTGAATTTACTTACCAGTTTCTGCATCTAATGAAACTTTAGTAGGTAGGTATTAACTCTTGCAAACAAACAAAATAAAAAATTATTTTCATTTAACTGTTAATTTTTAATTTCACAAAATTATTGCATAGGTACCTAACATCAGCTTTCATAATATGTAAATAAACTCTTACAAAAAAAGTACAAAAATTGTTTAATTGTGATTCTATTACATTTTTATTATAGCGCAATAAAGTACTTATAAAAAATATTAGTTTGAGAACCACTGGTCAAAAGCATAATCTTCCGAAATTTACCTATGGGGCAATTTTGTAAGTATTTTTAAAACTGTAGCTATAATTATAAAGATAATCTAAAAATGCGTCAAAAACGTCAATCCATTGATAAAAAAGACAATCAATCGTTTAACTTACCAAATCACTTAATAAAATGATGTGGGGTAATTTCGAAACTCCACAAAATCCACGAAAACGCACTTTTTTTATAAAATATCACACACAACACACGTACCTGCTGAGAGCGAACAGAGCGAACTGAAACCCGGGAATAGATCAACATGGCGTCTAGGTCAGTGTTGCCAGGAAACAATATAACTGTCTGTTTTGTAGTAATGTTTGATTTTTGAAATTACCCCAGATTCGAGGTTACCCCAAACCCCTATATATATATATATATATATATATATATATATATATATATATATATATATATGCTTACTAGGTAGCTCCGCCCTTTCATGATGCTTACATACTATACATTGGATGTTTCGAGCTTCCTTAAATCCAGAATTTAAATTTACAAAAGAAAACTATTGTTATTTATCATAATTTTTAGAATAGGGAACTAGAGCTGAAAACATTTTAAATTAAGTTTTATAATATTTAAGAACAGAGGTAATATGGAAGAGATAATATAACAGAGATATAATTACAACTGTCGCATTGACCAACGGTGACAGGCGTGAGTGTTTGTTTTTTTAAATACCTATATAAAACCGACCAAGTGCAAGTCGGGCCGCGCTCTATTAGGGTCCATACATATTATGACCAATTAATAACATCGTGTCTGAGTCTTTTGTTTGTAAGTTAAAAAAAATTATTTGAACACAGTATATATAAATACACACACGGACAAATTTAGAAGATCGCGAAATAATGTGCGTACAAAACATAATATCATGGATATTTGTGACAACTCCACTTTGCTTATTGTTAGTTAATTTTAAATTGCAAATGTCGAAAAATCAAACTATCCGTTATCGTCACAGCCCATCAAGTCCACAGCTGGACATAGTACTCCCCCATAAATTGCAAAACGACATATTTAATTGGTCATAATTAATTGGTGGTACACCGAGTTGTTAAGAGGTATCGGCAGAACAAACAGTATACGAGATTTACAGAACAGGGATGTACTTAAACGGAAAATTGTGGCCAGAGATGTTCGGTTCATCGTTACCAGCATCGCCCGAGCAAACGTCGGCCGATGACGGATTAGGTCAGATTAGGTGTATGCGAAGCGTAACACTCCCTATAGTTCGGAATATTCTACAAAAGAGTACCTCGTAATCCGACAAGTTACAGATCCAATGATAATATTCTTATATATTATATATCTGTACACCAAGGTACAAATCATACTTCATTATGTTAAATTCTAACTAAGCGATAAGAATCAAATCAATACCCAACGCGTCGAGCACAACAGTGGTGGTGGCGTACAAGCTATAACTTGTTCAATTATGCATTAGCGAAGATTGTCAAAAAAAAATCAATAATAAATAATAGACCATGTCGGATTACCGGGTGTCCACTGTACACATATGCAACTCTATAAAGAAAAATTTAAATAAACAAATAATAAATGAAAAATGTACAGGTTCGATTATAATATACCGATTATTCGCATTAGCATGAATTTGAATCATCCAAACCCTTCGCTAAGGTACAATACCGACATACCTATCACTGAAACAACGTCGAGCAACAAAGTTGATTCTGGTTAAGCTTTTTATATTTTGCTATGTTTGAAAGATTCGAATTTAAATTAGTGATGAAGAAAAGTAGAAATTGTAATGAAATATAGATAGATAACTGCATAATTTAATTGGATTTACGTAAAAGGTTATTTTAAATCGTGTGACTACGCTTGTACAAAGTTATTGCGAAATGATTAGTATTAAAGGTCAAAAGGTATTTCTTAGATTTCGTTGAGAACAAAACAGTTGAATTTATGTTTGTATAAAATATCACATTCACGTTAAGCATTCTTGAAACTTGCCAAATTCAATATCCGAGAGCATAACAATTTTTTTTTTAAATTAATTGAATAACGTTATATAGTCCTAACTTGGCATCTGTTCCGATCATCGTTAAACCCTAACTAAGGGTGACCACCTTCACACATTTATGTTTATGGTGAGATCTCCTTTTTTATTACGAATTATGGTGGTATTTTAAGAGTAAAAACAATCACAGGATACTGTTAAGCATGTTCGTTGGTTGTGTTTGTGGTATTTACTTTATATTAGAACCGAGAGGTCAATCGACGGATTCAACTCGACTGGGCAGCGTTCGGGAAATTACGACACATCTTCTCGTCAGGTATACCTCAAAACCTGAAAACTAAGTTGTACAACCAGTACGTGTTGCCAGTGATGACCTACGGAACCGAGACGTGATCCTTCACTGCTGGCCGTATGAGGACGCTCAAAGTCGCTCAGCGAGCTATGGAGAGGGCTATGCTCGGAGTTTCTCTGCGTGATAAACTTAGAAATGAGGATATCCGCAGTAGAACCAGAGTGACCGACGTAGCCCAACGGATAAGTAAGCTGAAGTGGCAATGTGCCAGCCATATAGCTCGAAGAACCGACAACCGTTGGGAAAAAAGGTTCTCGAGTAGCAGCCTCGTATCGGTAGGCGAAGTGTAGGGCGATGGGCGACCCCCCACTAGATGGAGTGACGACGTGGTAAAACATGCAGGAAGTCGATGGACGCAGGTGGCTCAGGACCGTGCTTTGTGGCATACCTTGGGGGAGGCCTATGTTCAGCAGTGGACTTGTGAAGGGCTGTAATTATGATGATGATGATGATGAAGGATAACTAAAAAAAAACATAAACACTCACGCCTGTCACCCAGAGGTGTAGGTAGAGACTATAGACTTCCATTTGGCACGATCCTGACACACTTCTATCGCCTCCTTCACATCCATATACCTACGCATACATGCTCGTCGGTTAAGAGTACTCCTAATTTGGCCCGTTTTTAATAAATCGCCAATTTGGTCGATAAATTTTCGCCTGGGACGTTCCTTTTCGACTCTGCCATTCACTTCCGCAACATAAATTTTCTTTGTCATTCTTTCCTCATTCATTCTTTCCACATGACCAAACCACCGAAGAATTCCTTTCTTAATTTTGGTCACAACATCATCTTGCAAACCACGCTCTTGAAAAGAATTGAGAAGAGTGAAGGATAACTGTGAGCATATAATTTATAAATAAAATATATATACCCATAGCTCGAAAGGGAAATCTCCTTGACAACAGCCTCTTAAGTAAACCGTTCTCTAGAAATCGAATTTGTTAAATGATTATTGTAAGGAAAAAGACATAATTACCTACTAATGACTTATTAATTGGAAATTATATTTGAGTTACATTGTATTCGAACGATCCTTTTATTAAATCAGGTAATATTAAATTTGTAAAACTAAATAAAAAACAAGCGTACTAAATTAAATCTAAACACTCTTATTCTATAGAAGTTTAATAATTAAGTTTTAAGTTAACGCTGAAATTTAATTTATAGAGCATTGTCCGTGTTATTTTAATACTAAATGAATTATATTGAAGTAACCTACGAAGAAACCACAAAAACAAACCCAAATTTCTTCAACAACATTTAACAATAGGAAGTGATTAAATATATGACAGGACTGATGCTACAATAGGTGACACTCATATCACCGACCGTTAAAACCGAGTTTCCGTCCCGGTGCGGCCAGTTTCACTAGAAGAAAGAAGAAGACTAGCCTATCTATGCAGGACAGGATTATAGTTTCCAAGAGCATGCGCAAGCTCATTCTCATAGGCGGATAGAACAGTAATCCGACATGACCGGAAGAGATCAGTCGCAGGACCTACGGCTTTACGCGCTATGTGATTCTGGGCTGCTATTGAGAACTTTTTGACAGAAAATCCTAATAACCATACTTAGCTCGGCCCCGAATTCCAACCCAGGACCTCTGCGTGTACGACTACTGGACCTACGGGGTAGTCAAACCAATTGAGGTACATTTTTAGCCAGTCAAAATGAAACTTTTCATATTTTTGTATCTCACATTTTCATATTCCATTATCTTTTTTTTTTTTCATATTTCATTCATAGCGATTTCTGCATTCATATGTCAATTATTTAGCGGAGACGAATTCATGGGCAGACGTTGATCACACGATCACATTGAGTTATACATACCTACATATCACGTATGCTGTATGTCGATTTTTCGATACGGATTTAAATCTAGAAAAACTAATTCAAAATACTATAATTCTAAAGTAAGTAGGTATATCATGTTCATTATAAAAATTTTATTTCTGTAAGAAGTTTTTGGAGATATCTATTGTACAAAAAAAATATGCACAATATTATTGAATAATACTAATAATAAGTGTTAGTAATGGACAGTTTCTTTCTTTTTACAAAAAATTTTGAAACCTTTTTTAAAAACATGTAAAATGGGAAGGAAAATATCGTAAGGACGACTAATACATTTGTAAAATTAACGTTTAATAAAATATTCAACAATAAAGTATTACTTATTACATTCTAATTCTTAGTAGGTAACACGTAGTAGGTACCTATTATTTATTTGAGTTACTACACCTATATTATATATGGGATTCAAAGTATGATATTACAAATTTAAGGTATTTCTAATTAGTTTGGAATTAATCTACCTATATGACGATATTATTATTCTTGTGTCCCAACAAAGAATTTGCTATTAGTTATACAGTTGTAGTAATGATGGCTAGATGGCGACACCTTTGCGTTAAGTCTCTGTCATAAGAAAGAGACAGATAATATTTGATAAAATGTGGGAGAGGGATAGCTAGAAGTTATTATTACGCCTACATTGCGGACAGCCGTCGCACGCGCACAAAAAAGCCATTCGATGAGAGCGCAGGCGCTGCGATATAATCGCCCACAACTTCACTTCGGTCAACTTCGTCATTTAGTGGTGACTGAAACGTTGATGTGTGTGGTAGTGAAGTTAACTTTTCTAACATAGATATCTCACATAAATAACAATAATCTGTTACTAAAGTACAATCACCCATTAAACGTGTTAAACGAAACATTTAACGTGTCTAAAGTTATAACTAATAATCAGAATGTGTGATAATAACAGTCCTTCGACGCAAAGTATAGCGGACTACTTAGCTCAGTTGCTCAAAGATAGGAAGCAACTGGCCGCGTTCCCGAATGTTTTTATGCACATGGAACGACTTCTGGATGAAGGTAGGTCATAATCATATTTAACTGCATTAAAAACATGATCACGTGTAAGCGGCAGCCGAGTCAACTGTAGATTCTTGTCACTGGGACGATCGTAAATTGGTGCGTCGACAAATGCTACAACGCACACGATATTTAGTTTATTTTTGTCTTCGCCCCGCCGAGTTATGGTCCAGCGGTGTTTGTAATGCGATCCATCGTTTTGAAAAGCGAAATAAAGCAGAATGACTCTCCTTCCATGATTTGCGGTCATTTGTTAAAACAGTCGTCGACGCAAGAGATCGGTAAAATGAATGGTGTAAGCGTGTATGTAAACGGGTACAGAGTTCTCTTTAGAGTAGATATCGACCAGCTGTCAAAGATTTATGCTTGTCTGAAAATTATGGCTACACGTATTGTGATTTGTGATTGTTCTGTGGAATGAGGGCGCGTAAAGAGTAAGACCGCAAGTCCTGAACCTGTTCCTAGGGCCGTGATACATTCCGCGCGGGTTGCTGGAATGTCGCCACTTCGTGTAGGTACCGTAGTCATCGACCGTTTTCAGTCATACGAGATTTGTACGCAGCTCGACACAACCTTGTTTAATGACCGGTTGCAACCAGGCCGCGGGTAATGTGTACCTACTCCTTATCGTCGCTACTGAATGCTTACCAACCAGGCTGGCTTGACACTGTTCACGTAGTAAGCAGTAAATTATTATATATTAAAGTTACAGTGATTATAATTACTTATTAGAAAGAAAGTAAATGGAAAACGGATAGTTAAACATGGGTTTGATATATAAAGGTATATTCACTATGACAAATAAAGCTAATATTGCTTTATTTATTAATAACCGAATTATGTTATATTGAAAACGTCATAAATATATGATAGGACGGCAACATGATTGTCAAATGCTTCATATTTTTAATAAACATATAAAATAAAAAAAACTACTGTGGTAGGTAAAATGATATTTAAAATTTGAACATGTCAATTTTGAAATTTTAAAAGTTGTTAGGTTTGCCAAATCGGAAGACCAAAATATCGGGACAAATTTTTAAATTTCGGGACTCTATCGCGTTGTCGGGAGGTATAAATATTAAAAATAAAAAGTTTACTATTTTAATTAAGAAGCTACACAAAGTACTTTAAAAAAATAATTTAGGTATACTTAGTTTTTTGATTGGATCCACATGTATTTGGATTATATATAGGATATTCAGAAAATATTTACACCTACTCAGTTTTTATTAAATCAAAGGCCATACGTTAACTTTCCGGAGAGTTGTTTGGCTGGAGATTTTGAGTTTTGTCGATTTGAGATCATTTCAAAATGTCGGGAGAATCCAGACAAATCCCGACCATTTGGCAACTCTAGTCTATCTTATTTCCTGCTATAATTGTGAACAGTTGTGGCTGGTATTAGCTTGGGTAAATAAAAGATAAGGAAGTTAATATTATTTCCTCTAATGTTTATTGACATAATAATTTCAAGTTTTGTTGCAGTCTACCTCACTCAATACGACAATAAAGCGTGATGAATTTTGCTTCTATATAAATTTTATATTGCATAATATTGGTATTTGTTGTTATAACAGACTTTTGTTTCAAAACGCTAAATATAAATTATTTACGAGATATACTATAATCATTATCTACTAACCCACATACATCAAAGTATAGTATATTTAAAAAATACCCGTATTTTATTCGTAATAAAGTAAGCAATCTGTGACCAAGATTTTGTCAATTAATAGTAGTCTAGAATCTAGATTCTTAAGTAAAATGGTAATTATTAATAAAGTAAAAATAATAAATTGTTTTAGTTTGCAGTTTTACGTTTGAAATTGTGTAGGTAACCACCATAATACAGAGTTCTGCCCAAGGGGTTTCAAATATACGAGTTTATCTATTTACAATGCATATCACGTCTCACCGAAGCGAGGTTAGGCTGACACCTCTACATGTCATAATACAGCAGCGATTTACTGTCAGTTTTGCCGAAGCGATTAGAGATTTTTAACTCCGTTAAGAGTCCGCATATTGATGTATTTTATAGTATATTATGTAAACTATTAAATACACTGTCATGTTTTTTCTCATAAATAAAATAAATTACGAACAATTTTTTTCGGTATTTTACATGTATCATGTTTCTTTGACACTGAAAATATTTTTGTGTTTAATGTATCAAAAAAAGTTTTCAATTATTTTGAAAACAACTTTAATAGAATAAACAAAACAATAAAATTGGCCTTAAATATTATTTCCTCTTGCAAAGTATGAACGAATATTTATAAAGCGTCATCTCTACTCCGACAAACAACGTAGAAGTCAAAATAATGGTCCCGAATATATTGCTTATAGAAAAAAATAAACTCTGAATACTAATTCGAAGAAAAGACGGAATTCATATTCGAACAGACGTTTCTGAAAAAGCAATTACAATTTTTTTTTTGCAAAACTAACAAAATTACACTAGAAATCGCGGGAGAAACTTTTCCAAATCGGGAGATTTCATGTCCACTGATGGGGGAGATCCATGACCAGCCGTAGACTTTCACAAGCCCCATGAAGAAGGGGTAGATTTATACGAAAAATGTTTTGCATATTCTAATAATGACATAAACGCCAGTACCTACTCAAAATAATAATAAAACTGCAGTTGCAAGTGGCAAGCATGGCAATCCCATTAAATAATCTATGGGATGGTCTATTTTCAGCAGTGGATTTTTGGTTGGCTTTAGTGATGACGATGGTGTCCTCTTCAAATATAATCCGGGGAAAAGAGGACGGATAAAGAGTCTATATACCCTTACTGCAAAAAAATAAATACAAAGCACAATTTGGTTGTAGTAAGTACATGTCCTCGTAACTGCGCTGTTCGCATATTGTTCAATATTTACTTGAATTTAAATTAGTCGTCTTACGAAACATGCCACCAGTACACGAATCTGCTTTGATTGGTTTCGTTCCACTACAATTGGATCCACGGAAATCGTAATAATAAGACGACTTCTGTGATTGGATCCAAATAGTGACGCCGCTTTTTTTGTGTATTTTGATATTTTAATTTTAACTGAATCTTTTAATCATAGTCATCAGCATCACGATAAGTCACTGCTTAGGATGGGCTACCCATAAATTGCCTTGCAAGCCACCCGCATCCATCGGACTCCCTGCATGTTTCTTAAAATTGTTATTTAATTTTGTGGGGGGTCACTGCGTTTGCAACTACAATGGTCTTTCATAATTTTAACCGTTTATTACGTTTAGGTGTTCTATGGAATATGGAAAGATGCATACGTTAAAATACTTGATACTATAAAAATCAAGATATAGGAGATCTATGACAGATTAATTGTAGGCTAGTGGAGATATAGAAGGTATTTCCGTTTAAACTACCTACGAAACTAATAAATTCAAACTGTCTATATCTTGATTTTAAAATGAGAAAAAAAAATCTTTATATAGAAATAGAAAAAACATCCTTATAGTATATTCATGTGATTAAATTGCACGTTTGTTATATTAAAAATACATGCCACTTGTAATATTGATGTTGCGTCAATAAAAATGACTACTTGTTAGTTTAACGTTTGCTGTTTAAACAAGAGCTCTCGTTAAAATAATTTCGATATGTTAACTTCGACAACTGAGTCATACTGCTTAGAATTGGGGTATTGGGAAATGTCCAGATGCTGCTCGATTTTCTAATCACGTTGACGCTTTGTGATTAGCTCCGCCGTCGTCTGCTATAAAAATTACGAGCGTTGTGCTGGATAGTTTTATGGTTTATTTGACACGTTGCCGGTTCAGTGCGAACGAAGACTTGACGAAAATATCGATGGCAGGCTTACAGACAACCGTGGCGTATTAAGTTACGGGAAAATAAAAAATTGATGCTTATTTTATTGAATTATTAAAAGTGTGGTTTGCAAGATGATGTTGTGACCAGGATTAAGAAAGGAATGCTTCGGTGGTTTGGTCATGTGGAAAGAATGAATGAGGAAAGAATGACAAAGAAAATTTATGTTGCAGAAGTGAATGGCAGAGTCGGAAAGGGACGTCCTAGGTGAAAATTTATCGACCGAATTGGCGATTTATTAAAAACGGGCCAAATTAGGAGCACCCTTAACCGACGAGCATGTATGCGTAGGATGTGAAGGAGGCGAGAGAGGTGTGTCAGGATCGTGCCAAATGGAAGTCTGTAGTCTCTGCCTACCTCTCTGGGTGACAGGCGTGAGTGTTTATGTTATGTTATGATGCTTATTATTCAAATGTAGAATATTTACTATGACAACTTCTATATTTAAAATTAAATTTTTAACAAACATTAGAATAATTTTTATAATCTTATGTACTCGGTGCTATAGCGTCACAAACTGGAATGTCTACATTCCTTATTTTCCTGCACTTACGGGTAGAATTATTTCTCTGAATTTTCATGGAACCTTCTAAAGATACTTCCAACTGAGCCTCATTATACGTGTGCTCCGATTAGTTCAAGAGGGTAGTCGAATGACGAATATGATCATTTACTTTCGCTGTTCGTATGATGCTATTACAAACTTGTACATAGCGTTAACATTTTATTAATTACAAATGACGTTAAACTGATTTTACTAATAAAATAAATATCTGTTTTTCGTCCCAAAATCACCTACTAATTTGCTGAAATCATTTAAGTTGAAAATTAAAGTTATAAACGAACAACAATTTTTCGATTTATATTAAACGCCGCAAACATAAGTCTTTATCTTCATACAAAGCGAAACTTATATATATAAGACATTTATTTCATCAGAGTGAAATTATCACAAATTATACAAAGCAATTTGTTTTAAAATATTCTACTACAGTATATTATATTATTGCAATTTCATCTCGCAATGTTTACAATCATTGAAATCAATTGTTTGCATTCCGAAAACGGTTAATAATAATCATGACTAGATAACAATGTGTTACTGCAAAGTAAACATACACAAGTCGTCAATCAAAACATGAGTGTATTG